AATTAGAAGAACCAGATGCAAAGGAAATGTTGAGAAAGTATAACTTCCAGCTCTCACTGTAAATCATGTCTAAATCTAGAAATTTAAAATACGTGAACTTATTAAGTATCCTTATATAGGGCATCCTTCTTCCAGACATAGCGTCAAGTATTCTTATTACCAGTTTAGCTGTTAGGAAACAGGAAAGTGTATCAAGGATAAGGCTTCCTTTGCTGCCTTCACTGCTCTCTTTTCAGAAAGGAGAGACCAGAAGGAATCGAAGGAGGAGAAAGTAGAAGGATTGTGGGTTAAGTTACATGGGGGGCAAGAAGAAAGGGATTTGGTGGTAGGGGTCTGCTACAGACCCACACATCAAGGGGAAGAACTAGATTCGGGGCTCCTGAGGCAGCTCTCAGAGACCATAAAAGCTAAGGAGGCGGTAGTCATGGGGGACCTAAACTACCCAGACATCTGCTGGGAGACACAGACAGCAAAGTCCCACCATTCACACACGTTCCTATCCTGTGTACAGGACCTCCACCTGACACAGGAGGTACACGGTCCCACTAGGGGGAATGCCTTACTGGACCTGGTATTAGCAACGGGGGATGATATGGTAGGGGACCTACAGATTGGTAGTCACCTGGGGGACAGTGATCACCAAATAATAGAATTCACCATAAGATGTCGAGTGGATAAGGTAACTAGTAGGGTGAAAGTGCTAGACTTTAGGAAAGCTGATTTCAATGAACTCAGGTGATTAGTCAAGGACACACTGCAGAGTAGGAGTTTTGAAGAGATGGGAGCCCAGGAAGGGTGGCTGTACCTTAAGGAAATGATCCTTTGGGCACAGAGGGAGACAATCCCGATGCGAGGAAAAAGGGGTAAAGGGGCCAGGAGGCTTCCTTGGCTGACCAGAGAAATCCAGGGCAGCCTGCGGACTAAAAGGGGGGCATATAAAAAGTGGAAACGGGGAGAGATTACCAAAGAGGAGTATACCTCCTCTGCTCGCTCTTGTAGGGATGCAGTTAGACGGGTCAAAGCTAACATGGAGCTGAGGATGGCATCCCCAGTTAAGGATAACAAAAAATTGTTTTTTAGATATATAGGGA